CTGGGTCAAAACAACCCAATAGCTGGGTTTGTCCCTTTTTAACCCAGCATTTTTTTTAGAGTGTATGTTGAATGATATGAGAAATAGAGTTTTAATGTACTGTAGGTCTCTCAAATTGATCATTAAATATGCCACAACACAAGAAACTAATTAAACGAATGAGTCTTGAGAAGGAAATGGCTGAAAGATCATTTCGCTCTCTACTTTTACATTTCCTAGCTACTATGGGCAGTGTTGTCAAGTTTGTCTGAAGGGTTCTAGTAAAATATCTTGACCCAAATCTCAAATACACAGCAAGCCATCAAATATGCACTAAACAGTGTTAGACAACGCTGTACACATCAAGATTGTCACTTTGTGACCATAGAAAAAAGTATGCAACGACAGAAACATTTAATGTCTGGTACCAAGCTCAGGACGACGTTTGGCAAGAGGAAAAAAGTGCAACAAAATAGGACAAAAAATGTTAGAAAACCATTTTTAAAAAAGAGAGAGAGGAAAAACATACTGGAGGAAAAAAAAACTCTCCTCTCATTTCTGGCAAACTGCTGTCATTTGCAGAGGTATGTATAGACTAGCCCTAAAAATCAAAAATACACAACCCAGCTGAATCATGTACACCCAGTAGACTCATGGGAAACTGAGTTTTTAAAGAGCCGGGCTATAATATGCTTGAAACAATTAATGACATGGCAGTCACTGAAGGCATGAAGAACTAAAAAAGGTACCACTGCCGAAAACAACTATCAACACTTCTTGAGAACCACGGACGGTCATTCGCACATGCACAAAAACACACGCGTTCACGCTAGCCGATAAAAACGATAAGGTCCCGGGTCACTCACAATCACAGGAACAACACACGGATAGGCAGAAAGTATACATCAACACACAACACGCACACTTACAGTCCATCTTTTCTCACTAACAACCATTTCAGGTTAAAAAAAAGCTTGACTGACAGTTTCATTCAGGTTTCAGTAGCCAATCAGAGTTCAGTCCATCGCGAACGACTCTTAGGATCCAGTTGCAGCAGGTTTCTTTTGTGTTTCTGCGTCTTAACAGCTATTAGAGATAGAATCAGGTTTAGATCCGAGAGCTATTCTTAGTGACCTCTACACCCTGTCTAAGATCTTGATATGATGCCTTTAGCGGTGATCGTGTTCATGTTATGAGTGTGTGAGAGAGAGGGTGGCGCTATTTGTGTCTCTGTGGTTCGGTGAGCACTTGTGTATATGTGTATTTGAGACGTTGACAGGCATGGAAATGTACATACGGACATCTGAAATGTTGTGTAAATATGTAAGCTGCAGCATTTGTTTTTTAGATGCATGTGTTGGTTTAAGTGCATGAATGATAGGCGAGTATTATGTGGAGTGTGTGCTTGTAGGTGCATGTGTGTGTGTGCGTATTTAAGTTCTTAGTTCTCCATGCTTCCTGTGGTGAACAGCACCCTCTGGTCGGTTCGAGCCAGCTTAGCAGGCGGTTCTAGAGATTCATCCCCAATAGCGCCCCCATCAGACTGCAGAGACAACTCCTGACACTCATAGTCGCTGTCTTCTTCCTCCTCCTCTTCCTCTTCTGAGACACAAAGACATATAGAGATTGTCAGTTAGAAATATACAGATTTTTCAGTAGTGAAAAAACATTTATAATCAATGTGATATTTTTTAATTATTTTAAAATTACAAAAGTTTAAAGTACATTATACATTAGTAAAAAATAATAATTACTTCATGTTTAATACATATACATTTTTATTATTACCAAATCAATGTATTTTTATATTTTTATTTGTAATATATATTTTTTTAAATGTTGATAATACATTTTTTTTATTATTACATTACATTTTAATTTTACATTAATTATTCATTTCTGTAAATAATAATCACTTTATTTTATATACACATAGAATTTTATTATTTTATTATAAATTAAATGTATTTTTATATTTATATTTTTTAATCTTCTTTCAAAATGTTGATAATCCATCTGATATTTTGTAATTACAATAAAATTACTGAAAATAATTATTACTTCATACTTTAAATACTTGTTCATTTAAATACTTGTACATTTTATTATTAAAAATTCAATGTGTTTTTATATTTTTACTTTTGTTTTCAAAATATTGATAATCCATCTGCTAATTTTATTTCTTTTGAAATTATTTAAAATTATTATTATTATTATACTGTAATTGTTATTATTATTATAAATTCAATGTAATTTTTATATTTTTATTTTTTAATTGGTTGGTTAAATTCTGGTTAGTTGCTTGTCTGTTGCTATGTGGTTGTTTTTAGTGCATTCCTATGTGGCTGCTAGGGTGCCTTGGGAAGTTGACGGAGTTTAGTTAGTGAAGAAGAAACAATTACAAGTCTGTGACTTTATTGTGTGTTTGGTGTTTGTGTGTAAAACAACTTACCTTTATCAGGATCAAGTGGGTTCAAACTTCGACCAAGACTTGCAAACTTAAAGAGCAAAAGAGAGAATTATGACATTTATACCACTACAGTCAGAATCTGTCTTTCACAGTTCCTCAGTTTAATATCCTGTTATGAGAGGAGTGAAGCACTTTTGTTTGTCTCACTCACTAAAAGGAGAAGTGTGTCTGAGATTAGGTAAAGAATTCGGTGTCGGAGTGTGTTTCTTTGAGCGTGTGTGTTTGTACCTCTCCCATGACAGCAATGGGAGTTTCGCCCTTGGCCTGGGCAACTCTGTGCTCTATCAGATAGTACATGTACTCATCATAAAGCAGGCGGATTAGGTGAAATGAGCCGAAGCTTGCAGCACTGCGGAGAGTCAGGTCTCTGATCACCATAGAGCTAAAGAGAGAACAAAGAAAAGATACAGGAAGTGTGAGAACGAAGAGAGCAGTGGGGTGGGTAAGACGCATAAAAGGATGAGTAAAAGAGGGAAACATATTTGACATTACACTTACTGGCTCCAACAGTCATTACAACTGTTCTAAAACCCAGCACGCAATGTGAAGACTGTTACAAACAGCAAAATGACGCTGCCTTAGAGGATTCATTGTTTTAGATCAGTCTAAGGGGGCATTGCATGTATCTGTTATTGATACAATAAAAATCCCAAAATAAACTGCAACAAACTGAACAAACAAACTGCAACTTTTTCAATATGGCCAACAGAGTCAGAGGAAATTAGGTAGACGTATATTTTATTTGGCACAAAAATCTTTCTTTTTCTTTTTCTAAAGAAATGATGATAAAAAAAAAAAAGATAACCCATCCACTTTTAAATCATTTAAAATTATATGAAAATTATTAAAATAGAACTTATTATAAATAAATTTGTAACGTTACATATACAGTAGATATGTATGTGTGTATGGTTGTACATACACACATGCAGTTGTTTTTTTGGTGTTTGGCTTAGTGTTATGTTAGAATCATTATTATACTCTTATACCTTTTGTTCTTTAATATTTTGAATTGTTTTTAGCTTATTTTTTTGTTTTTCATTTAAATGTTAAGTTTTGAAATTTTGTTGTATGCATTTGTCATTTTTATTTAATCTCTTTATTTTAAAATGTGTATAGGTAGTATTTATAAAGTTTTAGCTTTTAGTTTTGGGTCTGTTTTTAGTTGTTTTAATACTACAATTGATTGCTTCTGTTGTCCTCATTTGTAAGTCGCTTTGGATAAAAGCGTCTGATAAATTACTAAATAAATAAATAAATATATATATGTTTTTTTTAGTTGATAAAAAGGGAGAGTAAAGACTTTCTATTTCAAATAAATGCTGTTCTTTTGAAATTTCTATTCATCAAAGTATCTAGGGGAAAAAAATCACGGTTTCCACAACAATATTAAGCAGCACAGCTGTTTTGAACAAGAAATGTTTCTTGAATAAATTACATTTTAAACTGTATTAAATTAGATTATAATAATATTACACAATAAAGTTTTAAACTGCAGCCTTGTCAACATAAGACACTTCTTTCAATAACATTAAAAATATATATTTACAACCTCACATTTCTATCTATATTTGTAATTAACTAAACACTCAATATTGTGCTATGCCTCATGTTGTTAGCTTAGCAACATGCTAAGATCAGACTCTACTGGAATCAACTGTTGATAGTAGATGAATAGCAGAAGCTCAATAGGATTCAGAACAGAACTGGTGTGGCACATCATGTTCTTGTCCTTCACGAAGAACAAATCCCCTGTGATGTCCACAAACCTAATGTTAGTACAACCTTTTGAGGCTCACCTGTAAAAACTCCATTTCAGCAGGAAGAGTTTAGCTGCTTTTGGAAAGGCAGTGCTAGACTGGTACGGCTTTAAGACCTGCGAGACCACACCATCCAGCCAGGCTGCCCACTGCTCCAGAGAGTTCTGCTGCTGGAGGGTCAGTTTGAAGTCCTGCTCCAGCCGCTGCACCACCCGATCCTCACACCGGCACACCCAGGAGGCCTGTTCCTACAAGAGAAAGCACATGGGGATTCAAAAACCCACACTAAACAAAATATCGACAGCCTTTCAAAAATTGCTTGTGCTACATTATTACCAAATCTTGGATTCAATCTTTTTGTCAACTTGTTTTCTTTCAATTAGCACAGGTTTTGTATTTCTTTTTGGAAATGATTGGTCGTAGGCCTCACTGATCTGAGCTTATGCACCTCAGTTTCTGAGTGAAAAAATCATTATTTGTAGATAACTCTGGCAAAGTTCACTCAAAAAACTGAGGTGCATAAGCTCAGATCTATGAGGTATTAATATACCATAATGAGCAATTTTTTGTAGAACAGCCACTTTTACATTACCCCCATATACAGGTCTGAACAACATGAGGGTGAGTAAATGGTGAAAGAATTTTCATTTTTGGGTGGACTATCCCTTTATCATCTACTAAATGACTACTGACATACTCAGCGTAAACCCTTTTTAAAAGACTTTCAAGGAAACAAATAGCATGTTATGCTAAACACTCACTTCTGTTTCCGTTTCCCTGACAGTTAGACAGACCACAAACCCCTACATGCATGCTAAAAAGTGAGTTCATCTCAGATGGTGACAGATGAAAGCTCTAGTTCAGCCCTCGTAAATACAGTGTTCAGTCTCAAATCTGACTGGGACGTGAGGGATTTGTCCAATCACACACACACCTGCACATTGGCAAAATCCACTCTGTTGAGGTCGCTGAGCATCTGGTTGATCTGTGCCGTGTTTTGCAGTACAGCACGAGCTGCCTGGGCCAGGTGGTTTAGAGAGGTGTACCTGCGCAGGGTCTGAGCAAACGCACTTGCAGACGTCACCTAAACAAAGACCAATTCACAGAGAAAGGAGGCAATTAGAAACTGATGAAATATTTAAATCTTTAATATTCCAAGATGTAATTATCTAATGTTTAAATGTATTTAACTAGGGATTTTGTTTTGCTATTAAAAATTATTTAAAAGAGTAAAAAGGAACTTTCTTAATGCAGATGATGTGACCCTTGCATTTTCCCAAACGAAATTAATTAGGGAAAGTTTTTAAGTCTTCAAACACTCTTAAACTCCCCTAGTTTAGTACTGCACGCCTGACTGTATGTCACAAGCACACTATTTTAGCTTTCTGTCAGCACTAACTATCATTAGTCATTCATAAAACAGAAGTTTTGTGGTATTGACTGTAGCGGTTGAGTAATGTTAAAAATGTTTCCATGACTGATGCAGAAAACCAGAGTGAAAGGTGGCTAATATAATGCAAATATATTGTAAAAAAAATGTAAAAAAATAAATAAAAATGGAATGAAAACAAACGAGGTGTACACTACTATTCAAAATTTTAGGGTAGTAAGATTTTCTTATATAAATATTATAATAATATATAAATATAAAAATTTTCAGCAATCATTACTTCAGTCTTTAGTGTCACATGATCTTTCCTCTAATACATTGATTTGCTGCTCAAGAAACAGCTGAGCTGCTTAATATTTCTGTGGAAGCTGTTGTGTTGTGGATTATTGTGATGTTTTTATCAGCTGTTTGGACTAGGGATGTTCATTTCGGTTATTTTTCCTAACCGACAAAGCGTTAACCGACAAGATTATATTAAATTAAAATTGGATTAAATTAGAAAGGATAAGTGTCTGTGACCCGTTAAAATAATAACATTCGTTTCCCAGGGATTAATTCTACATGCGCAAAAAGCAGCAAACAACAGAACATGAGGATTCACATAGTCATCACATCACATCATGCACCTGCAGCGCTTCTGCGAACGGAGAAAAACATAATAAAGCAAGGCTGTGTATATTTTATATATATATATATAACGAATAAATAGGCCTAAACTGATTGTATTAATCGGTCAAAATTCTTACGGTCGGTTAACCGGTTAAAATAAACATCCCTAGTTTGGACTCTCATTCTGACGGCACCCATTCACTACAAAGGACCAATTGGTGAGCAAGTGACGTAATGCCAAATTTCTCCAAATCTGTTCTGATGAAGAAACAAACTCATCTACATCTTGGATGGCCTGAGGGTGAGTACATTTTCAGCAAATTTCAATTTTTGGGTGAACTATTCGTCACTAAACGTTAATAATTTGTTGCGATCACTGACCTTCACACGAACCATCTCTTCAGGAATGTTCATCATGGCGTTAGTCAACCAGCTCTCAAGACTTTTCGCAAAGTTTCGGATGGCTTGTGTTAAGGCACCTGGAGAAACAATTAAGATATTTCAACAAAATATATGGACGATTCGCCCATAATTGGTGCCCCAGCAGCCTGAATGTTGACCCACGTCCAAATTGGCAAGGAGAATGTGAATGTGAGTAAAAATAGGCCACTCTTGGCTAAATGTGACTCACCTGATGGATCAACACCAGCTCTGGCACATACTGCTGCATAGTAATAAGTGAATCTGTATTGAGAGAACTTACTGGGAATAGGTCTCAGAACTTCTGGGATGAGCATCTCCACCAGGCCCTGGTACAGTGTGTTGTCGCAGTCACGACTCCAGCGAAGCACTGGATCATATTTACAGAGCAGCACCAAACATGACTTGGGCAGCCTCTTCTCAGACTCATCATGCCTAAGATAGCCAAAGAAAACAGATAAAGTTTGTCTTATTATTCATTAACCCTATAAAGCCCACTATATCATATTTGATATGCAAATTTATAAGGCCTCTAAATTATCAACATGATCAAAACATTGATGAAAAAAATGGTTGTACACAATCTTTTACAAGCCTGTCATCTGATTTAGAAAATAAAAGGCCTTTAGTATCATTTTAAAAATGTCCCCCTTCAGGTCGTGGTACACGTGTCTTTTTGCTGTTAAGTCTTGATTTTTAGTCAAATGTAAGAATAGTAAAATGTTAGAATAACTTATATATTGTTAGTAATATTTCAAGATGAACACTTACTGGACTGAAGCGGTTTACTTGATTATCCACACACCATTTTCTAGAAAAATGGTGTTACAGTGTGAGAATATAATCCATCAGGCTTTTGAGGAATGTTGAGGAATGCATTATATGTTTTGCCCCCACAATAAAAACTACAGAGCTTTGATCAGAAAACTAAGCATTTAAAGGGTTAGTTCACCCAAAAATGAAAACTAGCTTGTGTTTTACTCACCCCCGAGGCATCCGAGGTGTATATGACTTTCTGTTTTTTAAAGAAAAATATCCAAAACACATGGATTCGCTACAGGGGGCCTTTATTCATCCCGTCTGTGGCACATTTTATTATGAATGCGCGAGCTTTATTTGACGACTTGTGGACTGTTCAACTGCAACACCCACTGACTGCAATGATAGAGCTTGGAATAGCCAGGACAATTTTTAATATAACTCCGACTGGATTCGTCTGAAAGAAGAAAGTCATATACACCTAGGATGCTTCGAGGGTAAGTAAAACACAAGCTAATTTTCATTTTTGGGTGAACTAACCCTTTAAAGGGGTCATGACATGAGAAACCAAATTTCTCTTGATCTTTTGACATAGAAGAGGTCTTTGTATGCTTAATACATCCAGCAAGTTTCATAACTTAAAATGTCCTCATCATCAATAAAAAAAGCATTTATGTAATAACCCCGTCAGAAAACGGCTCATTTTGGATCAGAGGGACGAGGTGACGTCACCTAGGCACTGTTCGTTTGCATATGACCGCCTCCAGAGCAAGACAACTATGCCTATTTTGTATTTTCGTGTTTGTAGATACTGCCGGAGGATCCCGACGTCAGAGAAAAATGGATTCAGTTTATTTTTAGCGAACGTCCCAGTCCCGTCAGTGCTAATTTACGTGTGTTCAGTAAAGTTTTGAGAACAAATTGCAGTATGATGTTGGCTTCGCCAAAATATTTTTGCTCAAAGGTCAGGCCGTTCCAACTGTTCTGGACCCAACAACGCCGCCGCAAACTGCAAGTAACGTATTTCATGTAAAAACTATTTTTAAAACATTAATGGCGGTAATGGATGTTAGCCAATCATAAAAGTGGGCGGTTACACTGACCTCTTAAAGGGAAAACACCCCAAAACCAACTGTTTCAGTCAGAGGATGAGAAACAGGGTGGAAAAAGGTCATAAATCACTCAAATTTAAATGTTTTTCGTCCAAAAAAACTTTAGTAATATTATAATTACACCTCAGGGAACATAATAAAATAAAAAAATAAAAAACACGTCATGACCCCTTTAAATATCATCTTACTAAGGCATGTTATTGGTAGATATAGAGTGACAACTGATATTCATATGCATTTTATGTAAAAAGTCTGCTATACTGTTATAAAGATCTCAATGATTTAACATTACAGTCTATCAGAATTTCATCTTATGTTTCAGCCATATAAATATCAGCAACTGTACCAAAATGCTTTTTTTTCACTTCTTGAATATGAGCTCCATATTCTACTAAATCATACTATGTGAGCCATAAAAGCCTGATGCATCAATTATAATGCTCAACAAAAAACACCTTTTTTAGGTTTCTTAAATTTTCATATATCGTCTAAAAGTTCAATGAACTCTTACATAAAAATACAGTGGTGTGAAAAAGTGTTGGCCCCCTTCCTGATTTCTGTTATCGCAAACGCTTGATTGCAGTTGTTGCTGCTAAGGGTGGCCCAACCAGTTATTAGGTTTAGGGGGCAAACACTTTTTTCACACAGGGCCATGTAGTTTTGGGTTTTGTTTTCCCTTAATAATAAAAACCTTCATTTAAAAACTGCATGTTGTGTTCACTTGTGTTATCTTTTACTAATATTTAAAATTGTTTGATGATCTGAAACATTAAAGTGTGACAAACATGCACAAAAATAAGAAATCAGGAAGGGGGCCAACACTTTTTCACACCACTGTATATATATATATTTTATTTGGACAATTATTTCATATGTCAGGCTTTACAGGTTAACTTAATGCTCTATACCGCCCTTGCTCAGTAGAAACAACCGAGAACCATCTTTATAAAATCCTCCTGAAAGCACGAAACTGTGAAATCCTTGATATGTAGTGCTGGTCTAAAGGAGTGTGTTGCGCTGAGAAGCAAACATACACAGCTAGTGTTGTTGAGTCTCCTGCCTGACTTTCACTGAACCTCCAAAATGTTTTCCAAAGAGTCTCCACCAAAGGGAACTGAAGGTTGACCATCACATCCAGAATGGCCTGCAGAAAAACACAAGACCAGTAAAAATCAACCTGAAAAGATATTTAGCTTCTACACAGATTTTCATTGTGATGCCGACAGTCTATCGCTGGTTTCAAACAGAGAAGAAGAGAGAAGACTCACTTCGCAGTGTTCTCTGTAGAGCAACTGAAAGCTTTTAAGATGTTCCAGCTCAATGCCCTCTGGTAAAGCTCTACCCTGCAGGTCAACATCAGGGAATTCTGGGAGAGCTCGGGACGCATCTAAACATCAATGATAACAGCAACCATATATGTTAAACCCGCATTGTGGTGCCAAACTTATTTATTTTATTTATTTAGTCATTTAGCAGACGCTTTTATCCAAAGCGACTTACAAATGAGGACAATAAAAGCAGTCAAAACTAACAAAAGAGCAACAATATAACTATATATAATATAATATAATATAACTTATGCAGTGTGAAACGATTTGGTGTTAGAATGTTACGGCTAAATGCTTTGTAACCGACAGCCAATCGCATGCCTCAAATTCACATACTTTAGACAGTTACGGAAAGACAGCGCACTTGAATGGAACACATTAGTGTTTCCTTTAGAACATGCATTTCAGGTTACGCTTCTGACATTAAAGGTTCACACTGATGTCACGACTCACCTAGAAACTGCTGGTACTGCTGGACCTGGGTGCTGATGTCCGACAGACCCGAGCTCTGCTGCTGCTGTTGCTGTCCAGATCCTGACAACATTCCGTTAGTGATTCCCTCCACCTTCTGTACCGGCTTCAACCTGCAGGGAGACAGAACCAGACAGACTGACAAACACAGGAACCAGAGTGACTGACAGAGCAAGATATGAAAGAGAGCATGTGTGTCCACCTCTGTTTCTGGGAGAAGGGCTGCTGCCTCATGGCCAGGTGTTGCTGGTCCTCCATCAGACGGACCAGAGATGAGCTCGCTTTGATTCGCAGTCCATAGTAGTGATATTTGGAATTCCCTCTGGAACAAACACACAAAAGCTTTAGTGCACCTGCGTGACCCGAACCAGAGGATCATGGAGGCATCTAAGCACATATGCATGTATATGCGTGACTCTCAATCACATTATTATTCAAACGTTTGGAGTCAGAAGGATTTTTTAAAAGATTTTTATGTTTCTTATGCTCACCAAGGTTGCATTTATTTGATCAAAAACTACACTTAAAAAACAGTAATAAAGTATAATATTTGTATATAGCATCATCACTCTAGTCTTCAGTGTCACATGATCCTTCAGAAATGATTTTCTGCTGAAGAAACAATATTAGTATTTTGGAAGGTTTTATTGTTGTTTAATATTTTTGTGGAAACCATGATATTTTTTTGAGGATTCTTTGGAATATAAAGTTGTTTATTTAAAAAAAAAAAAAAAAAAAGGGTTTATTTAAAATTCAAATGTTTTATAAATGTCTTTACTGTCACTTTTGATCAATTTAATGCATCCTTGCTAATAAAAGTATCAATTTCTTTTAAGAAAGTGTCTTACTGAAGCCATACTTTTGAACGGTAATGAATGCCATATTAATTTACTGTCACTTGATGTTTGTGAGTGAACTATGCTTATGAACCAACACTTTTTAAATGATTCACTCAATCTGATTTGAACATATAAATCAATGAAACATCTCACAATCAATTTAACTTGGACAAAAATAGCGCTTAAATACATTTCACTTGAGTTTTTTTTTGGGGGGGGGGAACAAATTTTCTGAATGAACCGATTCATTAAAATAAACTGGGCACTCCCAGTTAGAAAGTACATGTCATGTGACCTGATTTCTCTCACCGTGTGCCCAGGCGTCTGGTCCTCAACCCCATGAACACCGAGCGGATGAGTTTTCCGAAGGATGCCGCGTTGACGGGTTCCAGCTTTTGCTCCTGACAGTGCAGCAGGTAGTGGCAGTAGAGTGTAGATCGGGGCAAACTCACCCCTTCCGCTGTCTCATAATTATCCAACAACCACTGCACCTGAGGGCCAGAGGACAGCTGCCGGGATAAGACGCACACAAACAGCCACACACACACTCAGACAGAGAGTCCAGGCTAAAAGATGCCCTAAGATAGACAACATGCAAACACCACAATGCAAACCCATGCATATGCTTTTGCATGCAGACACAGCACATGCAGATACACTGTAATTACAATTTACTCAAATTGGCAACAAATTGTATTATTTAGCAATGTCTACACATATTGTTTTTCTGACAGCTTCATGAAAACATGCAGTGCTGTGAATAAGTCTTTGTCTGAATTTCTGTTTGTGCACTTTTTTTTTTTTATTGTATGTAGATTATTGTGTTAGCATACAGTCAAGTGGTTAAATGAAAAGTTTCTGTTCTTGCATTTCTTTGGAGTTCAAGGTTTCAGTTGTACAGTACAATGAAGAAGTATGCCAACAGATGAATCAAAAGCAGAACTGCTCAGCAGGCATGGGTGAAAACAAAGTGTTTTTTGGGCAGAAAACCACGTTCATGTTTTTGAAAGAAGTCTCTTATCTTAGTAAGGCTGCATTTATTTGATCAAAAACACAGTAATATTGTAATATTACAAAATAAATATTTTCTATTTGAATATATTTTGCATTTTTTATGTTTTTATTTTCAGGATTCTTAGATGAATAGAAAGTTCAAAAGAACAGTTTTATTTGAAACAGAGATCTTTTGTAACATTATAAATGTTTTTACTGTTACTTTGGATCAATTTAATGCATCTTTGCGGAATAAAAGTATTAATTAAGTATTCTTTTAAAAAAACAACAACAACATAACATATACATTTTTATTTTACAGACTCAAAACTTTTGAACGGTAACGTATGCATCCACATGTTTTGGTTGTAAATCAGTGTCCACATACAGAAAATCAGACAGGGGCAAACACTTTTTCACAGCTCTGTATGCCTCTCGACAGCTGTTTCTGCGTGCCGTGGCATACAAGACGGGTATGCCATGAAATATTAAACAAAATGTCTCAGTCCTTAACTAAAAGAATTTTGTAATAGAATGCAAAACTGGCTGCTGCATAGAGGACCATGTTGAATGGCTAGGTTAACCGACCGAATGGTTATGGTTATGACTGAATTTTAATGTCTTCAGCAATGAATACGACAGCACAGTGAAAGCTTTAGCAAGCACCACTGACAAGCTACACGTCAACTGGACATGTGTCGTCATCGAAATGGAATGCTGCTCCCGAAGATTTTTTCTTCATAGAATAAAACTGGAAATGATTTGGACTTGGAAGTATCACTGTGCCCTCTGACATGTGGAACAGAGCAATGAGATCACCATGCGTTTAAATTCATTTGGGTGGCGGGAAGAGGGGTGGCGATGAGTGATGATTAAGCCCCGCCCCTGCTGTCCTCATACCTTTTTGTCTGCCGACGGCACGCTATTGTCCTCGCCTTCGTTTATACTCACGGTGGCTGGAGAGGCACGGGTGGGGTGCGGATAACCGTGACCGTTTCCGCTGCTGCCAGTCCCGCTACCAGCCAGCATGTAGCCGCCCTGAATCACGTAGCTCCCGCTGCTACCGTTAGCCTCGCCTCCGGAGTCTCCAGAACCGTTCGCCGCCGTCCCAGTGGCTGCCACTACAGCTGTGACTCCACCCACTGCCGCCGTCGTAGGATTGGCCACGATCTGCCCCGTCCCCGCTACAAACATGGACACCCCAGAGGATCCTGTGGTCACGGAGACGGTGAGAGGGGTGCTGGGGGACGTGGCCTCAGAACCAGAGGCAGGGGTGGTCTCATAGTACTGTCCAGCAGCGGTCTGGGTATACAGAGGGGTCTCTGTGTACGGGAAACTGCTGGAACGACTGGGAGAAAATCAAAAGGGTTAGGAATTTGAATTGTAATCAAATATAACAACATTGTAGCGAATCAGCTCATTCATGGGGAAATATGAATAATTAATCATAACTAGTTATAATTAATTATAAATATTTAGATCCGCTGTAGATATTTACTTGACCTCTCAGGGTCAACTGTCTGTCAATTCTAAGAACGTTAATTTCCTGGTTAAGGGAAATAACTTTCTTACTGTACAACTCTACACAGAGCTTGTAGCATAAATCTGCATGATTAAGTGACTCCAGTTATGAGCAAACAATGAACAACGTCAAGTGTGATACAAAACTTTATTAACTACATAAACACTTAAACTAGTCCAACATACTACATAAACACTTAAACTAGTCTAACATACAACATAAAACACTGAAACTAGTCTAACATACACATACACACACACACACACACACACACAATTGGTATAGGAGAGGGTTGAAGCTTAAGCCGTAAAGAGGAGAGAAATAAGGGATGAAGTTATGGAACCAGTTGCATATTCAGCAGATCTACCGCCTGAAGGAAACATCAGATTCTTAGTTCAAACACACCTTTGTAAAAAGGTGCA